GGGACTTTTTACATGCTCCCTAAAATCCACAAACAAGGGAACCCTGGCAGACCTATCATATCCAACTATGGGACCCTAACTGAGGAAATATCAGGTTTCGTGGAATCAATCCTAAAACCACTCATCACCCACAGAGCAAGTTTTGTACAAGACACTACAGACTTTCTACAGAAACTTAAAAACATAGACCACCTTCCCAGCAACACACTCCTAGCCACGCAGGAATGGTAGCCCCTTCTGAGGGCATGAAGCCTGCCAAGTTTCAAGGAGATAGGTGCAGGGGGTTCAGGGAAACTGCACCCCAATATTTTGAAAGCAAAACTTGTGTCACGTGTATGTGTTAAGCCACAGCTCGGTCAAAACTGCAGGCATGCTAGCTCCTGCGGAGGCCACAAAGCCTGACAAGTTTCAAGGAGATAGGTGCAGGGGTTTGGGGGAAACTGTACCTCACACTGTGGACACGCAAAACTCGTAACATGGGTGACACTGTGTGTGTTAAGGCACAGCAGAGTAAAAGCTGCAGACCTGTTAGCCCCTGCTGAGGCCATGAAGCCTGCCAGCTTTCAAGGAGATAGGTGCAGGGGCTTCTGGGTTCTGGGGCCCTGCACCTCTAGCTGATGACAGGCAAAACTCATGTCATGGGTGCTTGTGCAACTGTGTCTGTCTTGAGGCAAAGTGGGGTAGAAACAGGGACTACTGCAGGCCTAGCTGCTAGGCTCTGCTGCAGCCAGAAAGCCTGCCAGCTGTTAAGGAGATCAGTGCAGGGGAGTTCTGCTGCTGACAGGCAAAACTTGTGACATGGGTGCTTGTGCAACTATCTGTGTCTCGGGGCAGAAACAGTTCCCGGCTCTGTATTGACTCTTTCCTCTCCTTACTGTGGTTTCATAGGTGTTAACCCTTGCTCATTAACTCGTTATCCTAGCTAGCTACTGTGTTACGCAATCAATTTCATGATTCACTCAGGGACCAGCTCAATACACAGTAGCTAGCAAGTTTCATTCAAATCAGGCCAGAAATGACAGTTATAGCCTGTTTCGACCTTCCCCATTATAGCCTATGGGCAAAACGTCGAAACAGTGAAGCGTTTTGACTTGTCCCTTTTTGTTTTGAGGCTGTTTAGACCATATCTGTTCCATTTCATTTTGCTGCTTCGACCTTGAAATGGGTTGAAACAACATCGAAACAAAACTGGCAGCGAAATTTCACACAGCCATAATATATGTGAATGTCTGTGTGTAAAGTATAATATCTTATCTTTCATTTTGTTTTTCTTCTATTCAAATGATCTATTTAAATGATATTGCCTTATGCCTTGATAAAAATCCTGCTTGTTTTTATTTACCCAGTACATGCCTTGTGCGTACAATTCCTCATATCCCCATCATGTCTGTTTTTTTAACATCACCTCATTTTATTGGTAACCAAATTGAGATTTAGAGTTTTTGTGCTGAGTTCTCACAAGTGCAGAAGTCAGAAGCTTTGATTTACTATATAGCACTAAATTCTCTGAGGAAAAAAAAAAAAATCACCTAAGGGCATTTGACTGGTGGAGTAAACTTGATTTACAACGACAAAGATCTGACTTCTATTCATAGCTCCACCACAAATTTGTTATGTAAAACCTAAAGCAGGGGTGTAGGTTGTAGTTGTGCTGGTCTAAAGACACAGGCAGACAAGGTTCTTTGGGTAAATCCAACATCTTTTATTAGACCAACTAAATATAGACATTGGATGTATGACAAAAAACCTAAAGCAGGGCACCTACTCCCAGTTTCAGTTATCTTTCTGAAAGGGATATTTGTCTCCATCCTAGAAGACTGGTATAAGATATCATATAATTGAAGCAGTGGAATGCAGAAAATTAGAAATCATCTACTTCACCTACTCTACTCCAAAAGAGACCAACTCAGGAAGGAAATCGTCATACACTACAACAACTTAAAAGACAGAAATCCATGCCTTTTCCCTGACAGTATACAGTGGATACAAAGAGACTACAAAAAACTTTCTACAGCATTCATCCTACATAAAAAGAAGAAATGGAACAAATGACTCCAAGAACAAGCTCCCCAGCCACAAAACAACCATCAGAGGAACAACACCAACACCTTACTACATTCCAACTTCAGACTCGATGAAACTGAAAGTAGCAACCAACCCACAAATATTATCAATCTCTCCACACACACGCTTACCAAAACTGAAAAATCTGTCCTTTCTAAAGGCCTAAATTTCTGTCCAGAAAAATACCCTAATAAAATACTTCAATGTGGAGAACTAGAAGAATTCTTTCGTTGCCTGCGCCTCAAAGAATATTTCCACGACCAAACTGAACCCACTCCCAACAACAACTCATCCTCTGACAACATTCAGGAAAGGATCAATGACAAAAAGCCCAAGTGTCCAACCCCTCCTCACCTCCACTCTCCTCCTTTTGGTTTTGCTGTTCCTCAGGGGGTCTGACTATACTTGCAAAAGCTTTGGGGGCACCTACCACGCAAGTGGCTCTCTCCCTTGCAAGTAGTGCATTTTAGGGACTCCTGGCACTCTGCTGCTCTATGTCCCACTCCTTCACACCTGTAGTACATCATGAGGGGACAGCATATGGACAGGTGCCTCACTATTCTACATTTGCTTCATAATTTTGGTTGCCTGTGGTACATTATAAAACCCCGGTGTGCCCTGACCTGGATCAATGAGGGGAGGTGCAGCAGCCCAGTTGGGCTACACTCATCTATTTGTAATACTACTTGTGCCTGCCAAGACCCCATCCAGATACCATATTTGTCCCTTACTTTCTCTATTTACAATACCTTTTGGATGTACTTTTCCTTCCATGCTTCTATGTCTTCTGCCTCTAGTAAATTTATGTACATTTGAACTGTAATCACTCTTTCTTTTGACTTTTCCCCCTGCTATGCACTTTAACCTTTTAATTCCTCCCTCCCATGCTTCTCTGCATATTTCTTCCAAAAGTTCTCATACACGTCTCCAACCCAGTATATCAGTTCCCAAGTATTTCAATTCAAGAAAGCAATCAGCCTGGTGAGGTGTTCCATTTGCACCTCCAAAATCGTACGTATTTCCAGAAAATCATCTGTTCTTCATTGATCCCTTCTGCCTCCCATTGCTGGTTAAAGTTGCATTTATTCATAGCTTCCACTCCTGTCTAGCTTATCTTGATGCCTGTTTGATGTTTTTTCACCATACCACTCCTGGTGGGCCTGTCTCCCATTGTGCTCCCGCTGTCCTCTACTTGTTGCACGATGTACCTTTTCCTGCTGGTCCCACTCTGTCTTCCACTCTTCTCTCTTCCTGCAAGTGTCATCATTTTTGTCATTGCTGCCTCTGCCATTGCTCTGCTGTCACCCTCTTTCTTCCTTTCTTCTTTGCCTTTGTCCACTCTCTATCTGTCTCCAGATCTTTATTTCTACTCTTCAACTCAGCTCATGCTTATTTGGCACTACTGCCATTGTTTTGAGCTTTGGGTCTTCCTCCTCCATTCCTTATACCTTGGCACTCTGTTGATCCTTTTCTATGCCTTTATTGGCATTGATCAGGCTTTCAATGCTGAAGGGAACCTACCACAAGGCTAGGTTAGTGCAGTCCATCTGAATAAGATATATGCTAGTGCCCATTAAGTGCAACCCCAATTGCCACCAACTCTTTACAGTCATGGTGAGCCACAACATTGCATACAATTCACACAGAATCCTTCTATCATGCCCTCTTTGTTTGGTGCATATGATTAGTGTGGCTCTGACCTCCATGACAGGAGCGTGATCCAGGCTGACCTTGATAGGCTTAGGAAATGGGAGGATGAGAACCTGTAGGTGCTTACCACTGAAAAATGCAAGGTTCTCCACCTTGGGAAGAAAAACCTGCAGCATCCTTATAAGCTCAGCAGTGCTACGCTGGCTAGCACTACAGATGAAAGGGACTTTCATCTGGTTGACCACAAGATGAACATGAGCCTGCAATGTGATACTGCTGCTAGTAAAGCAAGCAAAATGCTTGCTTGCATCCACAGATGCTTCTCAAGTAAATCCCAGAATGTCATCCTCCCATTGTACTCAGGCTTGGTGAGGCTGCAGCTGGAGTACTGCATCCAGTTTTGGGCTCCACAATTCAAAAAGGATGTGGAGAAGCTTGAGAGGGTGCAGAGGAGAGGCACGTGCATGATCAGAGGTTAGGAAAACAGACCTTATGAAGAGAGGCTGAGAGCCATGGGACTCTTCAGCCTGGAAAAGTGCAGGTTCATGGGTGATCTGGTGGCTACATATAAGTTCATCAGGGGTACTTACCAGGATCTGGAGGAACATCTGTTCACCAGAGCACCCCAAGGGATGACAAGGTTGAATGGTTACAAACTCCTCCATGACTGTTTCAGGCTGGATGTAAGGAAGAACTTCTTTACTGTTTGAGCCCCCAAGGTTTGGAATAGATTGCCGCTGGAGGTGGTTCAAGCACCCACTCTGAGTGCCTTCAAAAGACATCTGGATGTTTATCTTGCTGGGATCCTATGATCCCTGCTGACTTCCTGCCCCTGGGGCAGGGGGCTGGACTTGATGATCTTCCAAGGTCCCTTCCAGTCCTAATGTCTATGAATCTAATGTCTATGAATCTATGAGGTGAAGCTAGACCAGGTTGCCCTGTGCCTCATCTGCACAGAATGTTTTTGAGCAGGGCTTGTGACAAGAACACCCAGTTCTGGTCATGAGTGGGAGCTAAGTAGCACCTGGATACTTTGTGGGGGCTATGTGGAGTATATACATGTACTGAGCAGTGCTGAGCTGTGGGGTCATCATGGAAGGTGGGGCCACATTAATCATATGTGACAAGCTGAAAGAAAATGCGACAGAGATGCTGGATGAACTGCATGCAGTGTCATAGCTTACCATGGCTTGAAATGCTGTTGACTCTGGTGGGCCCAACCCAGTGAACTATGTGATAAATTATGAGCTCTTTGGCTTTGGACTAATACCATGCATGTATAGTTTAGACTTACCTGGCAGGGGAGATCCCATGATCATTGTGATGGTTTTCCCAAGGTGAGATCAGTCCACTGCACTCAAGGCAGGCTGACCTCTGCAAGTTTCCCTAATGTGAGAAACATGACTGCACAGTTTTGCAGTAATGAAGGATTGTGTTTAAACTTTTCCCCAGGATTGCTCCTTGGTGTTTTGGCTAGGAGCCACTGACACTAGAGGGAATCTGAACCCCAGGGCTTCCAGGCCTGGAGCTTGCACATAGGAAGTCTACTACAGATTTGAGGAGCATCTGAAACCCCATACCAATGAGTCTGGGAGGGAGGATACTTGCCCAGTGGCAGTGCCACACAGGCTTGAATGACTGAGCTCTGCTCAGTCAAATTTGGAACTTGACTATTAGACTTTGCACAACTGAATCTGGAATGGATTTGGCTGATTCAGCCCTTGGAATGAAAGATATTTTAAAAAAAGAGTTTATACAAGATACAAGTAAGTGACAAAGTGCTGCTCCAAACCATGTTTATGAAACACTAGTGCTAAAACTTGCAGCAGTTTCAAAAAAAGGTAATCTGAATCAATTCTGGATGAACTAAGTCTATGGTTACTATATGCAGGTTGCTACAGTCATGTTTAATTTCAAAGTTATTGCTTTCAGATTTGCTCCTTACTTTCACATGCTCAGGGAGAGCAGGGTCTAACAGTAAGGAGAGGGGGAAGGGACTGCCAGAGGGAAAAGCTGGGGGGAAGCACAGAGCAAAGGACTACCTGATCCCCCAGATTTATTTTACCTCCTATAGCAGTGGGATGGGGATAAATCCAAGGCAAACCTCCAATAATTGGATTTTCTATGTAAAAAATTATATGGAAATTTTATAAATTTGTTATATAGAATCTAATTATTGGGGGTCATCTTATAATCAGGGTCATCTATTCAAGTAAATATGGTAATTTCCATTACCCTTTGTACAGCATTTGACCTGCCTTATAGACTAGGTATGTTCAGGGGGTGGGAGTGATGGGGAAAGGAAACTGAATTAATTGCTTGGCCAGAAAATATATTGGAATAACTCAAGAGAATCAGGCTTTTAAGCCTGACATAAATCAATGGGAGCTCTAACTCAGGATTATCTGCAGGCAAGAGATAATCAATGAGCTTGGAAAGGCTGTTTTCCAAAAGCACCTCACTTTGTTATAACAGCATCTGTGGGGAAAGCTAGAATCTTATTCTGATCACTTTCTTTCGCATTTTCCATCAGGGCCAATGAGACAACTTTTTCCAAAATGACTGGGGGTCTAGCGTTGGACCATGGATCATGAAAAGTGCTACAAGCAGAAAATGTCTACCCAAAAGATAGTATTTTGGGGGCTGGTGGAAGGTGCCGTTCAGTTCCTTATTGTGTGATTCTTCACCCTGCAGTGTAGCCTGCATCCACTTCAAATCTTCTAGCTGTTGGGGCAGTGATTTGTCCCTCCCCTGTAGCCTTCTGTTACCAAGGTATGGAAGTTCCCAAGACCTTTTCCATTGCTGGTTACATCCTTCAAGCATATGTCCACACTGCAATCAAAGGACTGTAGGACAATGTAGACTTTGCACAAGTTATTCTTAGATGTCCAGCCTCTGAGTGGATCGAGGTTGCACACTGTGCTGTTCTTCCATATGATCACTGTGCAGGACCCCTCCACTGCAACATGCCAGTGCCCTTGTGCACCCCCCACCCAACACTGTGCCCTTTCCCATTGCCCTCCATTCCCACCCTGCACCATGCTCATCATCCAGTGCTGCTCAGGATCCCTGGGTCTTCATGAGCCCCTGGTCATGGGTTTCTTTGGCCCAACCAGCTGCCCCAGGCAGTAGAGGTTAGAGAAGGAAGGGAGCCCAGAGACTCCAGCAGTAGCAGCTGCAGCAGCCAGAGCCAGGGGAGGAGTGGTGTGCAGATGGGAGCCTGATTACCACCTTGGAGGCTGCCAGTTGAATATCCTTGCTCTAAACTTCCAAAGTAGAGGGAAGGCCAATGTAGGTTTAAAGAGTCAACGTATTCAAAGAAGTTCACTTCAGTAAGGGACACCCTTGTCTCCTTCTGGTTGCTTCGTTAACCCCACAAGGATATGATGCAGGATCTGATTAGGGCCAAGGGGAGCAATTCTACTGCCAAGGATCAGATGAGAAAGGCATTTCCTTTGTCACTGCAGTCGGTTTTTACAGCTGCTTATGCTGGTAAAAACAGACACTGATAGATAGCACTTTTACTCCGCGAGGAATCTTACTGACTTCAAGGGAAGTGTTTATAGAGTAAGACAGGGATTGGCAACCTGCTTCCCACTAAGGGATTTCATCCGGCCATGGAAGCAGGGACATCAGTAGCAATGTGGGAGCAAATCAGCAGCAATGTAGCAGTGAGGAAAGTGGCAATGGTAGCATGGCCATGGCTCATCTTTGGACTAAGCTCTTTTAATTTGGCCTGAGATTCTTAAAAGGTTGCTGGCCTCTGGGGTAAGATACCAGTTATTGTGCGCTGGTGTAGCAGAACCTGTCCTTTAAACTGTAGTCCAAATCTGTCTAAGGCGATTACTATTATGCTGTAGTACAGTGAGAATCAAAGCATATCTTGTCTATTTGCTACAACGATGGGTACGTAGCCACAGTGCTGACCCAGGTGAAGTGGGCAGGTGTCTATACTGAAACCCTTCAATGTTTGCTCCTTCCTTAGTTAGACTCTCAGCAGTTTAGATTTGTTATCCTGAAAAGTGACTACTGCCCAGCACTCTAGTGAGGGCTCTCTCACTTCAGGTGGGGAACTGAGGTACAGCAGCTTGCTCAGAGTCTCACAAAACGGTAAAGGATTGAATCTGTGTCTCCCAGATATCAGAACAGCCTCTCTGCACCCCTGTGGCAAGTGGGAAGAGTCAAAGGTATCCTTAACTTGAAGCTCACAGTCAAAGCCAACCCAGTAGAGACCTGCAAGCAGGCATAAATTGGCATCAGTGCCCCTTGCTTGATTTATTTATTTTTTTCTTTCTAGGTCATATGTTGGCCAGAAGCAATGCTACAAGGTTGAGAAACATATGACCTTTGCCAAATGCTCCTGTGCTTGGGCTGGTAGCAGGCCATTCATGGTTACAAGTCATCATTACCCTTATTAGGAAGATAGTTTGCTCAGTATCTCTGATCTTTTTAAGTGGCTTCATGACGCACTACTCAAAGGCTTTAACTGGTGGTGATGGGCTAGCATAAGGCTATCTAACTTTGGCAAGGGGAGGGCTATACACTGCATGGGCTGCCTGTTGCAAGGGCACCCTGGGTCCAAGGCCCTGCCCTGATGTGTGGGCTGTGCGCCAGGGGCTGTGTGCCTGTATCACATGGGCTGTGCTGGCAGTGCCCAGACCACTGGGGCCCTTCACCATGTGGCAGCAGGAAAGGCAGCTGCTGTGGCTCACAGGCCATGTGTTAACTGCTTGGTCTGCAGGCCACCAATTGGACAGCCCTGTGCTAGCAGATGGGAAAACAAGACCTGGTAAAAGTTCTCAGTGACTCTATGAGAAATTTATCAAGTTAAGCTGCTGCACTCAAAAGAAGAATAACAGGGGTTGGGCAAAAAAATGGAAAAAAAAAAGAAAAAAGTAAATACCTATGCCTACCACCCTATACCCACACTATAGGATGGATGGAAACTAGACACTTTCTGAGAGGTAGATTGTCCAGTTCTGGGTTGGTGTTTTCCAAGCAGAGATACATTATAGATTCAGATTGTAAGGGGCTGGAAGGGACCTCGGAAGATCATCGGGTCCAGCCCCCTGCACCAAGCAGGAAAGACAACTGTGATCAAGTGACCCCAGCAAGGTGACCATCCAGTCTCCTCTTGAAGATTTCCATGGTAGGTGATTGCACCACCTCTGGAGGAAGCTTATTCCACAGTCTGGATACCCTAACTGTGGAGAAGTTTTTCCTAATGTTGAGTTTGAAACGGTTTTTCCAGGAGTTTGTGGCCATTATTTCTGGTTTTCTCCAAGGGTGCCCTGGTGAACAGCTGTTCACTGAGCCCTTGATATACTCCCCTAATGTAGTGGTAAGCTGCTACCAAGTCCCCTCTCAGCCTTCTCTTTTTCAGGCTGAAGAGTCCCAGGTCCCGTGGCCTTTTCTTTTATGGCTTGCCGTGAAAGTCTCTGATCATACGGGTAGCTCTTCTCTGGACCCTCTCAAGCTTGTTCGTATCCTTGGTAAAGTGCGGTGCCCAGAACTGGAAGCAGTACTCCAGCTGTGGTCTCACCAGTGCTGAGTAGAGTGGAAGAATCACTTAGTTTTGCTGGAGATGCATTGATTGATGCATGCAATGTATTATTTGCCCTGCTGGCTACAATGTCACTCTGCCAGCTCATATTCATACTGTGGTCTATTATAACCCCCAGTTCCTTTAATTTGTGGTGCTGGTCAGTTTGGTGCCACCAAGGTTGTAGGTATGCAGGGGGTTGTTCATCTCCAGTGGAACACTTTACATTTCTTGATGTTGAACAGCACTTTACATTTCTCAGTTATGAAGCCTCTGTACTTGCTGTCACAAATTCTCGAAGTCAAATAATCCTCTTCACTGGTGCTGGCAGTAGATAGTTAATACATACTCAGATGATCCTAGGAAAAGGACTGTACCCTATAATATAATAGAAAAGCAACCTCTCCCTCAGTCTGCTGCAGTCGATTGCAGACAGCGGTTTCAGATAATCCCATTCACGTATTTAACAAGCTTAAAATCTGTTAGATTGTTTCTTCCCTCACCCCCTCATCCCATTACTCCCAGGGGCATGTGTAGGACAAGCACTTCTCTGAGGGTTGGAAAGCTTCTTTTAATTCCCAGCCTCAATTCATTCATGGCCAGTTTATACCCATTTGTTCTTGTGCCAACGTTGCCTTTTAGCTTAAATAGCTCTTCTCCTTCTCTGGTAGATTTCCAGATAACAGATATCTCCTTCTAGCTTTCCCTTTCCACAGCTGAGCAAGCCCAGAATGCCTGTCCTGCCTACATGCCACACTTGGGAACACAGTGATGGCACAATTCATTGCCTGCTCCCTACCGCAGTGCACACACCACCTTCCAAAATGGAAGGAGTGTTGTCTTAAAGTGGCCCTAAGTACACACCCAGCACCACTTTTTACGGCTCGGTCATTGACGATATGCATATCG